TGATATATATATATATATATATATATATATATATATATATATATATATATATATATATATATATATATATATATATATATATATATATATATATATATATATATATATATATATATATATATGTTAAGTTGTGTAATTGTACACTCCGTAATATGTTAAGATGAAAATGTTCTAGAGTGTGTATTATATAATTTCCATACCCAGCGCAAGCAGAAAGATGTTGTCTGCCGCGGCTGGGCCCCGTTCATAACACTTACAGAACTAGTATTGTTCGATGCTGAATTAATATAAACGAGTATATGTTTATGACATTCGGTGTATGTTTCATAATTTCCGGTCTTGAGTCCGTCTGGCCGTGTAGCTCAGTTGGTAGAGCGTCGATCTAGTAATTCGAGGGTCGCGGGTTCGGGGCCCAGCCGCGGCAGACAACATCTTTCTGCTTGCGCTGGGTATGGAAATTATAAAATACACACTCGAGAACATTTATATATATATATACAAACGCACTCTTTTTAAATGCTTCTAAAAAAGACACCCTGCTCTGGAAAATTTATCTTTACGAAAAATGTTTGTTTATTCTACATTATAAGTACCCAAACAATCTACCGTCTATTTATAAAAAATTTCATGAAACGAACGGATTTGTGAAATTGAAAGCCGTTTCAAAATTGTCTACTTTTAGTATACATCTTGTTTTGTCATTTCTGTTTTGCATGCTCAGAAAGTTGAGTCAGTACACAACAAAAATTCCCATGTTTGGCGTGACGAAAGTAAGCGAGTTTAGAAACGATTCATTCCAAATTTCATATTTGTCGGAGTGAAGTGCCACACATTTCTTCCTAGTTGCAATGGAATTCCCTTTCTGTTGCGCTTTTCTACATTTTCTCCGGCGTCGCCATAGCCTTGTCGACCATTATAAATAACCCATAACGGTCTCCTCCGTGCCTTTCTCGATGATAAGTATCGGCTTTGTGAAGCAAGAGTCTCAAGTCTACCAACTGTTGTCCCTTTAAGGTATTCTGATCATAATTCATCATGTTGTACATGACGTTTCGTGAGAGCTCCATATTCCTACAATCTGATTTGGTATTCGCCATCCATCGATCTTTTATACCACGCATTGCTTTTCCAACATATACTTGTGTCGTGCCCAAATTGTCCCCGTGGGCGACATGGGGTTGGTTTTCCTCGAAATCGTCTTCTTCAAATACTGCCCAGTAAAGGTGAAGATCTTTTTCGTTGGGAAAAGCTAGGCCTACATCATTTTGCACTGAATGAACTGTTATGTAATCCCTCAACGGAACGTTTGTTATCCAGTCTATATCTGTTTCCTCATCGGTTGTTTCAAATACACTCCGATCGAGGTTGCATATCCATTTCTTCCACGTCCAACGTTTGCCAACTAATGTACGCACATACACAGGCGGGCAAAGTTCCCGATGAGTGAGAGGACGGATTTTATGCAATTTTTCCTGTGCATGATATAGCCTTAAAATCACGTGCGCTTTTCTTGTGCCGTACGTCATAACATCTTCGCCTCCAGCGTCTTTTAAGTCCTTACAAAATCCGTAGAAACTGAACTGATCGGGATCTCCGGTTTCTGTGCGCCATTTGAATTTGTACTGTGTTGCGAAAAGCTTCCTCACGGCCTCAAGATGCCCATCGCCACGGGCTACCAAAATGTTGACGAGGTTTCGCGGAGATGTATATTCTTCATTTTCTTTTTCTACTGTTAAATTCTCTGAAATATCTGATAAGTATGGGGCGTCAATTTCTCTCACCGCATCCCGTTTTCTTCTAAAGCGCTCTGAAACTGAACTGTCGGGTTGTAAACGTTCGCCATAAAAGTGCATGATTGTCGTTTTGATTTTGATCGAATTGCATGTTAGTTTTTGTGTTTCCTATCTTGGCTTTCTTATAAATACACTCTGCTGGAACACCTTTGTAACTGTAGTTCGAAATCTGCAAACAATTCTTCGGAAAAACATTACTATAATAAACTATTCACTGAATAATCGTGATGACTTTATACAGTTTTGAAATTCTAGACATATGTTTACATGTTTGATCCCCTAAACTATACACATGTCAAAAACGAAGTCAAAACACAAATATGGGAAATATGTTTAAATACCCATGCATAACCTATATATAAGCTCCTACCTCCTCCGCAGGCGTTAAAGGCGTGAATTTTAAGGCTGGCGCTAGTTGAGGGCGGGAAAAGTTTGCGGGTGGGTAATATAAGCTCCCAAATGAGCAAAACACAAATATCGTATATAAGTATATTCGCATCGTTCTGGAGCAGTAGCCAAATTCATTCCACCATATGGCAAACCATAGTCTATGGTTTGCCATATGGTGGAATGAATTTGGCTACTGCTCCAGAACGATGCGTATATACTTATATACGATATCTGTGTTTTGCTCATTTGGGAGCTTATATATAGGTTATGGGTAATTATCGAGATTTTTGTGGCATCTCACTCGGAAATCGAACCCGCTGCCCTGTGACCCCTGCCTTGTCGAGCTCTAACCAACTGAGCTACACATGGCTCACGAGAGACGCAGAGAGACAGTTTTCGAGCTCTAACTAATTGAGCTACAGATAGACAGTTGTCGAGCTCTAACCAACTGAGCTACACATGGCTCACGAGAGACGCAGAGAGACAGTTTTCGAGCTCTAACTAATTGAGCTACAGATAGACAGTTGTCGAGCTCTAACCGACTGAGCTACACATGGCTCACGAGAGACGCAGAGAGACAGTTTTCGAGCTCTAACTAATTGAGCTACAGATAGACAGTTGTCGAGCTCTAACCGACTGAGCTACACATGGCTCACGAGAGACGCAGAGAGACAGTTTTCGAGCTCTAACTAATTGAGCTACAGAGAGACAGTTTTCGAGCTCTAACCAACTGAGCTACAGATAGACAGTTGTCGAGCTCTAAGCAACTGAGCTACAGATAGACAGTTGTCGAGCTCTAACCAACTGAGCTACAGATAGACAGTTGTCGAGCTCTAACCAACTGAGCTACAGAGAGACAGTTGTCGAGCTCTAACCAACTGAGCTACACAGAGACAGTTGTCGAGCTCTAAGCAACTGAGCTACAGATAGACAGTTGTCGAGCTCTAACCAACTGAGCTACAGATAGACAGTTTTCGAGCTCTAACCAACTGAGCTACAGAGAGACAGTTGTCGAGCTCTAACCAACTGAGCTACAGAGAGACAGTTGTCGAGCTCTAACCAACTGAGCTACAGAGAGACAGTTTTCGAGCTCTAACCAACTGAGCTACAGAGAGACAGTTTACGAGCTCTAATCAACTGAGCTACAGAGAGACAGTTGTTGAGCTCTAACCAACTGAGCTACAGAGAGAGTTGTCGAGCTCTACCAACTGAGCTACAGAGAGACAGTTTTCGAGCTCTAACCGAGCTACAGTTGAAGGGTAGATGCAAATTATCAAGTATACAGTCTAGTGTACCAAAGAATATGTATCTTTATATGTGATAGAGATTTCCCCTGATTTACATAAACTTTAACTTTGATTTTCTCCGCGAATGACTTCGCCAATGAACTTACTAGATTGATCGTCAATGAACTTACTAGATTGAGACTCAGAGAGACAGTTTTCGAGCTCTAACCACAGATAGACTGAGATGGTTAGGCTAGCCGGCAAACATCAAAGGGGGTGGCAAATGATGTCGGGGATCAAAGGGAAGAAAGTCACGTGGAAACTTAGCGGCACGGCGCTGTGATATCTTATTATATTTACCACATTATTTCATAAATATTCATAACAAGGTTAACGCATATATAAATAAGCTAGAATACTTACAGACATTAATGCACTCGGGTTTAAAATGAAGCTCACGTACAGAGATGGATGTTGTTGCTTTCTATCTGTTTTTTCAGATCAGGCGTCATCTCTCTCGTTCTTAAAATGAGGCGAAGCCATTCTTCTCTAGCATTTTGTTTCAAAGATTTCACATGATCACCATCTCTTGCGCTGACGGGAATTTTAAACAGCGATATTTTCTTTCTACCGCTGCTAAAACAGCCATAAGAGTCGAAACAAGACATACTTGATACGTAACTTCATTTTGATCGTGAGGCTGCGTTTGGATTAATTGTGGCTGACCCTAAAACATAAAACATTTCTAGATTTATTTATATATCTTTAATTACAGTATAATTAAGACAACGTGGATTTAACATATTAATAACCCACATACGTAAACAGATCTGGAAACAAGTCGTAACAAGGTTGTTGTGAAGCCGATATCAGGATGTGTTCGCACTGCTTGTTCCCAGTTGTTGTGACAAGTCTGAAACAAGTTGTTATCACCTTGTTACAAGGTTGATGACGGTAACAGACTTGCTACAAGTTGTTCCAACAAGACTAATACAGGCTGTTCGTAACAAGTTGCTACAAGCTTGTTGTCATCAACTTGTTACGTGCAGACGATATCAGACTTGTTGGAACAACTTGTTGCGAGTCTGTTGGTCTCATCAACCTTGTTACAAGATGATAACAACTTGTTCCAGACTTGTCAACAACTGGGAACAAGCAGTGCGAACAAATTGTTGACAAGTTGTTGGATCAGCATTGCTACAAGTCTGCTGCAGGTTTGTTAGGCACAAGTTGTTACAGGTCTGCAAACAAGTTGTTACAAATCTGTTCACAAGCTATCGACAAGTTGTGTTCGCACTGCTTGTTCTCAGTTGTTGTAACAAGTTTGGAACAAGCTGTTAACAACTTGTAACAAGCTTGATGGCATTATCAGACTTGTTACAAGGTTGTTCTAACAAGTCTGATACAGTCATGACATAACAAGAATGTTACAAGGTTGTTCTAACAAGTCTTATACAGTCATGATATAACAAGAATATTACAAGGATGTTCTAACAAGTCTGATACAGTCATGATATAACAAGAATTTTAGAAGGATGTTCTAACAAGTTTGATACAGTCATGATATAACAAGAATGTTACAAGGTTGTTCTAACAAGTCTGATACAGTCATGATATAACAAGAATGTTTACAAGGTTGTTCTAACAAGTCTGATACAGTCGTGATATAACAAGAATGTTACAAGGTTGTTCTAACAAGTTTGATACAGTCATGATAAAACAAGAATGTCACAAGGTTGTTCTAACAAGTCTGATACAGTCATGATATAACAAGAATGTTACAAGGTTGACGACAAGGTTGTAACGATATTGTTATATCATGACTGTATCGGACTTGTTGGAACAACCTTGCAACAAGTCTGATAATATCAACAACGACAATGTATAAGCGAGTCGTGTGCTTGATTTACACAGTACAACTCAAGTTGTAAGCAGTTTGCATGCGACAGTTTTACGCAAAAGTTATGTAGTGCATATTGATCTTTATTCGTTTCGAGTTTTAATTAAGCATGTGTTTCAACTAGATCTAAGAACAAGTCAGTTTCATTGGAAAACCATATCGCCAACTGGATCTTTATGGCTACGTTTATACCGACTTGTACTGGATAGCTAGTCCGTAGCGACGTAAAAAACACCTATATCCGTACCTTTTAGGCACGCTATCTTCAGAGGAATTATTGCAACGGAGAGATGTTGTTTCGCTCAACTTCTGAGAGTTGTACATTCTGTATCGGATAGGTGCTAGTTTCAAACGGCTACAGAAAGCTATATCCGGTATAGTGGAAACGTATATAGCATAGATATCTTATATAGATTAGATAGCGCATCTCTTTTAGTAAAATTGAAGCCAAGGATATTCCAGCGGTTACCCCCATTTGAATAGATGGCGGGCCATGTTGGTGTTTCCCACTCGCTAATAAACGCTTAAAAAACAACAATAACTTTCATCATTTGAATAGTTTAAAAATGTATTGGAATAGGTTTACCTTAATATTTAAGTTCCGTGTTTAAGAAATAGAAAACATATACGAATTTTCTCATTTCATGGGAATATCCTGAGTCTGCAATCACGGCTTCAATTTCAGTTGAACTGTAGAATAATTAGATGCACTATCTAGTGTATATAAGATATCTATGGTATATAGCCTTTATGCCAGCTTTTCATGCATCGCGCTCATAGATATCTTATATAAGATATCTATGATCGCGCTACACGCTTCAATCTCGCTGTTGGTAACTAATTAGAATCACATTATGCAACCGAATTGGTTGCAGTAAAAATGAGAGCATTTTAAAGTTGTTACACATCAGTTGATGTTGCAATTACTTCAGAAAAGAATCGCTTAGCCAATGTTACATTTTATTTCATTCCAATACGGTCGTTCCGTGCAAAAATGAGCCATGATCCCTAATCAGGCATTCAAATCACCGAAGCGTTTGCCATTATCTTAAATTATTCAAAAGCTGCGGGTTGTCAAAACACAAAACAATGTCTCCATTCTCCAGACAAATTCAAGTTGAAAACAAATTCGCTTAAATTTTGCCGGTACCTGACTATAAAATAAATTTACACTCCCTATAAATACTATACGCTTTATAGTCCATGGATTTTACAAAATGCTGATGAAGAATTGGACATTCGAAAGGTAGGATTCGTATTTTATCTTACAATAATTTACCCATTTGTAACGTTTGTACGAATTCATATACATTTCAATAAGTAACTGGGAGAGATTTTAGATATTTAAATGGAGGTTTGTACTTTAAATTATCTGCGTGAAGAAAACACAAGCCGTTTCCTGACAGAGGTTTCCATATACAAAATCTTTAATATTTGCCGTCCTCATTCGTTCGGAAAAGCATCTACAGGTATAAATAATTGTATTTTCTTCGGCGGTTTATCAGAACGAAGTTTATTTTGATGTAAAATGCGACGGTGCATGTGACCGGCTTTCGACTACATGCATTGTTTATTTCCGAAACTTTAAATGCAATATGTCAATGTGAAGATTTAATAGAGACAGCAAGTTTAAAACAATTTACGTACAAAACATCGCATCGTCGTTTGTGTTTAAGCTGCAATACATATAGACACATGCATATTGCTGATATAATTTATTTGACCTTAATGTTTTTTTCCGAGCCAAACTTAAATTTACTAAACACAAAATAAAAAACATTATACACATTAATTCAACTGATTTCTACTTGTATACAATTCCACTTATAGCTTTTTAGTTATGATGTAATGTTAACGCCGATATGCTTCTTAATATACAAGGGCCCAGTTCCGAATTTAAAGGCCCCATATCGCGCCTACAGTCACTTGCCAAAAGTTTGAATACAAGTCCAAAAAGTTCAATATTTTGAAAAATTTCATTACAGACTTTTTCAAGAGGTGATTCAGTGCACGATTTCATTTAAGTTATTTTATATATAATTGGATAATATTAATATCTTGGGGGCATCTGTTAATGTAGTTGTAAATCGCTGTGCTTTTGTTGGGACATTCTCTGTCCAACATATTTTAATAGAATCCCCGCTACATTTTGCCTATAATAAATTAATAACAAGTGTTATAGCTGGGTCTGTTATCGAACTAATCTGTGCACGCTTAGTGTTCCAAGATCGTTGTGTGTCAAGTTTATAACAAGTTGTTCATGTCGTCTTGAAACAGGCTTGACGACAAGTTAATTGTTTCCGGAAATTAATTGTTTCAATAAATCATTTGCATATAAAAACAAGTTGTTGCAAGGTTGATATTCCACAAGATTAATAACTTAACAGACTTATTGACTCCAAGAATCCGATATTGTTATTATACACACAAACGTCTGAGACTTTTAAGTCTCACATCTTGTAGTAAGTCTGCCAACAAGCCGGCAACAAGTTGTGTTCGCACTGCTTGTCCCAAGTTGTCAACAAGTTTGCAACAAGCTGTTAACAGCTTGTAACAACCTTGTTGATATTATCAGACTTGTTGCAAGGTTGTTCCAACAAGTCCGATATCCCACCGGGCACACGACGTTGTTTCAACGTTGAAATTTGGTAGAAAAAAGGTTGCGACGTCGACAACCTAATATCTACGTTGCTCTGACGTTGTTTTACAAACATTGGTTCAACAGCAGCCAAAAGACGTTGAATTAACGTTCATTCATGGTTAAATGTACGACGTCGATTTGTGAACCAATCTCAACGTCGTTTTAACGTGGATTCAACGTTGAATTATGGTTGACGAGATTGGCAACCTAATTTCAACGTTGTTTCAACGTCGAAACAGTAACGTCGATCCAATTTGCATATTCAACCCTTTTTCAACGTCTATCCAACGTCTGGAAGGTCATTTCCAACGTTGATTCAACGTTGGATAAACGTCATTTTGCCCGCTGGGATACAGTCATGATATAACAATATTGTTACAACCTTGTGTCGTCAACCTTGTAACATTCTTGTTATATCATGACTGTATCAGACTTGTTGGAACAACCTTGTAACATTCTTGTTATATCATGACTGTATCAGACTTG